CTGTGTTGCATTTGGCTCATCAAGGACTTGCTGGCCATACCGGAGTTCGTAAAACGTATGATCGGGTCTTACGGCAGTTCTATTGGCCTAAGGTAAAAAACAAGATGTGGCAAAACATATTCGATCTTGTCAGACATGCCAGATCACCGGTAAGCCAAACCAAAAAGTTCCTGTTGCTCCGTTGCAACCTATTTCTGTCGTGTCCACTCCTTTTGAACATTTGGTAGTTGACTGTGTTGGTCCTTTGCCTCGGTCCAAGACTGGTCACCAATACCTTTTAACCGTTATGTGTCAGACTACTCGTTATCCGGCTGCTTATCCGTTAAGGTCCATTACTACTAAATCTGTCTTGAAGGCCCTCACTAATTTCATGTCGACCTTTGGAATTCCTAAAGTCATTCAGTCTGATCAGGGTTCGAACTTCATGTCGAAACAGTTCTCAAAAGCCCTGCGTCAACTTCGAGTAAACCACAATATTTCTAGCGCTTATCATCCGCAGAGTCAAGGAGTCCTTGAGAGGTTTCATCAAGCCCTGAAGTCCCTACTAAGGTCATATTGTGTGGAACTCGATGCGGATTGGGAGGAAGGTCTGCCGTGGATGTTATTAGCCAGGGGCGTAGCAACCGGGGGGGACACGTCCCCCGCACTTTCAGAAACCGGTGATTCTGTCCCCCGCATTTTTTTTTTTTTACTCAGCGCCAATATTTCCACCCGTGTTCTCTGATTTGTTACTTAGACTTGAGTGAGCTAACATTCAGCCAATCACAGCGCGAAGCATCTATTGGGCGCGTCTGCCATGAGCTTCAAATCTTTTGTTGCTCTTGCGAATCTTCGTGTTTGTTTAGTCGCTTTGCTGTTTGGCCGTCTAATGCACCCCAGAAAAAAAGCAGAGGACTACATCATATTTTTCAAACACACACTGTTACAGTATGTCGCGATGACATGAATCACACGTAAAGTTTCCTTGTTATGATTTAACCTACTGTAACGCAGTAAGACGTGTAAGACAACAGAACCCGTATGGACCTCGTCGCGCCGGATTGTGCCGAGTGTGTGTTAAATGCTCTCCTACTTGTTGCTTTGGATAAAAGCGTCTGTTAAATGAGACATAACAGATTATTCCCAGCAGGCACACAACATCATAAGACGTTGATATTTGGTAAAATTTTGGTTGCGACGTCGGGTGACCAAAATTCTATGTAAATTCAACATCTAATGTCAATGTTAAATTGATGTCCAATACCGAATACATTGATTTAGGTTTTATTGATATATTTTTATAAAATGTCTGTTGTATAAAATTACTGTAGGCTAGATGTAATCTGTTCTGTACTCATTGAACACTTTTTTTTGGTCCAACTGTTAAGAAGTAAGATAAAAGTTATTGTTCAAGTGTAGTTTAACTGAAATATTGTAAATATCATAAAATATCTTTATTTCATAAAAATAAAGTATAGATGTCCACAGTTTGAAAGTGGTCTGAAAGTCCCAAGTCCTGCAATATTTTTTTTATTTCGAGTATGATTTCACAAAAATAGGTTGCTGTAAACTATCATGGCATGTTCCCAAAATTGGCACTAGGGTGCTGTAAAATGCCAATTGCTATTCCATCTAGAATTTATTATTATGAACATCACCTTTCAGTCCCTCCAGAAAAACGCGATTATGCGATCGCATGATTCAATGCATAATCAGCCAAAGTCCGCATATTTATGCGGGGGCATTTGTCCAAATACGCCGCACTTTAGCCGTATAAATTGCCGATTTCTACGCAAAATATGCGGGGCTTGTATGATTTCATAATCCCCGCATTTTTGTTGCAAAAAAAATCACATATATCTTAGCAGAAAGTTGAAAAATGTTGCGTTTGCTTCACACGAGAGCCGCCGTTTCCCCCTGTTGCCATGGGAACGTTATGAAGTGACGTAATTACGCGACATGAACATCATTGAAAAGCTGTAAAACAGGAAACATTTTTTTCATATTTTATTTATTCATTTTTACAGAAGTTGTAGCATATTCCTTTTGTAAAGCTACAGACCTTGTTTGACTCATCAATGTTTTGTAAGTTTGAGGCATGTGTTTATTAAGCTCTTTACATCACTTTTTCTCTCTTTTTCATCAAACCGCAGTTTTTGCAAGTTCCCGCAATTTCAGCACATAAAATTGCAAATATCCTGCATATTCCATCGCCGCATAATCAAGGACTTTTGCCCGCAACAATCACAAAAAAACTCCGCATTTTTCTGGAAGGACTGACCTTTGGGTCACATCACCACACCATTTTGTCCCCCCCCCCTTTTATAATGGCTGCTACGCCCCTGTTATTAGCGATACGTGAGGTAATCCAAGAAAGTCTTGGGTTTAGCCCGAATGAATTAGTGTTCGGACATGTAGTGAGTGGACCTACGGCTGTGTTAGCTGAGGAGTGGCGTATGTCTAAACTGTCTGAAAACATTTCGGATTATGTGAGTGGATTCCGGCGTAGATTATATGAGGC